AAGTAAAAAATCACAAAACTTACATTCATCCAATCCAAATTCACTCAAATCCAGCGAATGCGTCGCTGCTGAATAGCGTTTTTTCAAGCACTCCTGAAGAGGGATCGAGTTTCATATGCATTCCTGTCTAACAATAGCTTCAATATGCTATAAAGAACCAAAAAAAAAACCACGGCGGAACTCACCCAAATTTGGGAGCAATTTGATTGTAAAAAAACCCCAAAAAGATAATAATTCAAGAAAACTGCTCAAACAAACGCAAGAACGAAAATTAGACCAAAAACCAGAGATTATCCCAACACACAAAATTACAAGGTTCACGTAAATTACGAGGGTAAGGGCCGGGAAATTGTTTTTAGCGACAAAATCGAGAACTTCCTCTCAGCCGCTCGTTCAATCCTAGCAGCTCCTACAGAAACCGAGATTTCCCCAAAGCCAACTTAATGTTTCTCGCACAAACACAGCACATAAATGGGGCACCAGTACAATGTACGGCACAACCGTTGATATTTACATGGACAGCGGGACTGGCTATCCTACAGTTTTCTTCAATAACTTCAAAAAATTTCTTTTTTAAGCTACAGCGGGCACATTTCCCATTGTTATAGATGACCGAGAGTTGAGAAGCAAAAAATCGCATCCGAATGACTATTTAGCTACTACTTACCTCAATCAACTGTTTTTCGCTAAACGGGATTGTAGTAAAGCCTGCGGACATCCGAGATGACAAAATAGTAATTGGTATATTTGTACTGGGATCACGAATACGCCTCGATATTGCCTGAATGGCTGCAGCCGTCTGAAAAAAAAAATGCTGCCATAAATATTTGAATAAAATGGCATATAATTTCAAGAATAACAAAAACAGCGGAAGTTTTCAAGCAACAATTTGGCGTAGTCCAATTCAGGTCCTTCCATTTCTCTAAAATACTGCTGTTTCTTGTTCCAATACTCAGACAAAAACGGCTTTTTTAACTTTTATCCAATAAATCGGGATTTTTCTGGTAATTTTTTGAAGCAGTTTATTACAGCCATAATCAGCTTGTTATTACTGTGTCTTTATAAGATTTTCCCACCTTCCTCGCTAGTTCAGTACTTCTCAGTAGGATCCTACGTCTCCCTAACATACTTTTCGCGTAATTCCTAAATGATTTTTGATCTCAACAGTCTGTTCTTTTGCAATTTCGTGCCAAAAACAAAGCAAATCTTCACCAAATCGCAGGGTTCTGGCTACTTTTTTTTTTGTTGAAAGCTGAAAACTGTGCTATATCCCTGGCATCTACTAAGAACTTTTTCAGCCCGCTAATCACAAGAACGTTCATTATCGTCTACAGATCATCTGGCGGATTGCGGGCAGCGCCAAAACAGCATGCTTATCACTTTTTATCATTACTTGTTCACAGTCGTCGAACCGGCTCAAGTAGCCATTTCATTCATCATCAGATCTCATTTTCCATGCTATTTTTTGAGGAGAACATCTTTGCTGCTATAAATTGGACCACATTTCCCTCCAACCCTACATTCCCTTCTAAACTCGTTGGTTACATAT